GTGCTCGCTGGCCCGGGCTGCGTGTGGTGTGCGGGCACATGGGCGGTGCGTGCCCCTGAGACAGCGCCTTCGCCATGGGCCTCGACTCCGTGCCACCTTGCCTGTTTCTATTTCTTTCCCGCTTCCCTTTTTATTTTTCTTCCTAAAAGAGCTAAAGCCAGAGGAAATATTTTGATCTGGGCTTTTTCTTTCGCATGATGATGCCTCACACGCAGTAGATCAGGGATCACTTTCTGTCCTGCCTGGAGGCTCTTCTGGATCTTGCAAACCCCCCTTCCCGTATGCATCTTTGCAGCATTTTCAGCTCTTTCTCTGCTGCGGAGATCTCTGTGAGTGGCTGGGGGAGCCCGGCTCCCCTGTGCATGTCCATGACATGCGCACCTCGGCCTCTCAGTGCTGGTTAAGAAACCCACAGGACTGCAGAGCATGTGCCCTGAGGGATTTCAGGCATGAAGCATAGGAGGACCAACATCTCTGCCTCGTGCTGTCGTTGCCCAGAGGAGCAGCTGGTGTTGCCAGACGCCCATGTACCAGGACATGTTGGGGACCCCAGTTCCACACTGCTTGTCAGAACTTCACTGAGATCTCCCCCACCCATACGTGCAAGATGCTGTTCTCTAGTGAATTGTATCTGCAGCAACAGGCTCCGTTCCCCCACCAGCGCAACAGCCCCTGAGGTCTCACTGGCAGGACATGCAACACTGATCCTTTGCCTCGGCAGTTTCTCAGCATGGGAAGCACAGCGCGCGGACTTGTGTTAGCTGGACCATCTCCACTGCATCTACCTGTCCATCTGTGGCGACCCCACATCTTTGATGCTGGATGTGAGGAGATGTGGACCTTCCATCTAGTTAACTCTTCTCTGTGGGCTTCTCTCCATTCTTTGGGGATTATCTAGCCTGCTTTTCACCACCATGAACCCTGGTGGGATCCGTGGTGTCTAGGAACTGCTCAGCGCTGTGTTGCTTCTTGCATCCCTAACCTCGTCCATTTTCCAGGACACCTCTCGGCGGCACCTGCTCAGGAAGCAGTATCAGAAGAAATCGTCTAGCAAAGACTCAAGTCTTGGCTGCTTGATCTTTCTGAACAGCTGCTGGTCTGTATTCATCTCACAGGGAATAATCGTATCTCACCCTTAGACCCCAGACCGTTCAAAAATCTTTGTTTGGCCTAAACTTTCTGAAAGACTTGGTTGCAGGGGCAGCTTGGCCATGGATGGAGTGGGCCTTCTCCTATTCTTGACCAAGGTGATGAATTGATGAAATGAGCTTTGGAGGAGTGGGTCAGTTACTCATTCCAGCTGACCGTGCTCACCCATGAGCGTGTTGCAGCTGAGTCTGGTATTGTCCTTAGTGCATCAGATAGACCTTGGCATGCAGGGGACAAAGTCCTGTCTCACTCGGTGTCCATGCATTAGTGTGAATATTTATTGCCCAAGTACAGTCGAAGCACGGATGTGGCTGATTGAAAGGAGTTCCATGGCAGAATGCATCTGGGCAGGCTCTCTGTCAGCATCCATCTTGGGACCATGACTGTTGTCTGGTGACCTCCATGAACATTTGTCCAAGACCATGCTTTTAGTATCATGTCTCTCTGAATTGACAGGGAGGTCTTGCCGTTGAATATTTAGACAGGCTGGTTCAGCTTCCCTACCCTACAGAAGTCAATGTTGGCAGAGACTTACTCGGGCAGACTGGAAACCTGCTAGTGATTGCTTTGGCTTCTCTCTCCCCAACATGTGGACTGTTGCATCTAGGTGAGGACAGGGACGACTTTTATATCGGCAGTGGAGTGGCACGAAAACGCTCCCTTGTGGCAAGAGCTGTCCCTGGGCTAGGACAGACCTGCTTGTGAGCAGCCTACCTCCGTGGGGTGCTGAGGGACACGATCAGCCTTGGAGCTGGGGTGAGAGACGCAGTTCTCTGCCGTGGCCACTGCGCTCCATGCTTCCTGTGCTGAGATCAGCCTCTTGGCAAGGGACTTCAACAAACGGCGCCAGGCATTTTGCAGAAGTCAGCCCTGGCTCCCTGCTGAATGCATTTCTAATCCCGTGGCGTGCAGAGCGGCCGCCCATGCACCTTCCCTGGTGAAGTTCCCTAGGACTCATCTGAAAGGTGAGCTCTCAGCCTCAGAGACCCTGCCTGGCAAGGTAGCTCTGAAACCAGGCCCACTGAATTTCTTGATGAAGACTACCAGAGTTTCCCACAGAGGGTGGGGAGCATCACCCTCGTTGCACCTCGCCACATGGATCTGGGATACTCTACTGACTCTAGAGAGGATTCAGTCAACCTAAACATCAAGGATCCCAGATCTTCTTTGCTGTGTTAAGCAAGCCAACTCCCTCCCTTCACTCCTTCCTGGTTCCTATCTATTTTAGGTCGTATCTCAGAACTGAGAGAGTCTGACGTGTCTGTCTGTTCAGTTATGTTTGTAATCTGTCCCACACGACTAGCTTTGTGTGAGTTAGCCTTTCCATGTTTCAGGATTCCTTAGATGGATGTAAATGTGATGCTGATAGCCTTCGCTGGAGCAACTTTGATTCCTTGGTAACCTGTTTATTATTGTGTTTACATTGTCTTTTAGCCAAGAGGGTGGGAGAGATTAAAGCTGCATAGAAAGTTGTTCTTTTTTCTAGATTTGAGCTGGGAGGTGGGCTTTCTAAAGCCTTGTACCTCTGCTACAAAAGCCCTCGTTCTCAAGAAGGCTGCACTTTCTATGTATTTATGGTTGCTGCTGTCTCCTAAGGATAGATCTGCAGGCCTGCTCTGCAGAAGAGCTGAGGATAGCTAACAGGCCATGTTTAAAATCCTGCAGTGAATCAGCCAAGGTAGAGCTGCAGCAGGTGATAAGATCCCTTCACCAAAGCCCTAGCTGTGTCAGTAGCTTTTAATCTCCAGCTGCAGAGTCAAGAATGATTCTGCGAGCAGCTGGGAGTGGTGCAGACTGGTGCTGAGGTTGTCTACGTGACAAACTCCACCATTGCCTTCAGGATTGAGGTGGGATGAGTGGCTGGGAGGACGTTTCTTCAATTCCCTCAAGACTAGAATAAGAGATAGAAGAGGGAGTT